ACTTGCATGGTCAAGGTGGCAAATGAAAAAAATGCCCCGACTGCTCGCATCCGCTCGACACGTGGAGATATCCATTATTAAAGCACAGAAGCCGAGGAGTGCAACATTAATGGGAAGCCGGACACTGCTCGTTACAACAGGTACTCTGAAGAATTTGGAGAAGAACCCGCCTTGCAATGCCGAAGACAATCTGCGCGCCGGACTCATCGTCATTGAAGCCTGGTTTGGGGGCTACTCAGGGAGTCCTGGATTAAGGGGTCCTCTGACAGTCGGACTATATACTTTGGCCGGACTTTTGGACTATGAAGATACGAGATTGAAGACTTCGTCCCGTGTCCGGATGGGACTCTCCTTTGCGTGGAAGGCAAGCTTGGCAATTCGGATATGTAGATCTCCTTCTTTGTAACCGATCCTGTGTAACCCTAGCCCCCTCCGGTGTCTATATAAACCGGAGGGTTTAGTCCGTAGGACCAGAGCAATCATAATCATAGGCTAGCTTCTAGGGTTTAGCCTCTACGATCTCGTGGTAGATCAACTCTTGTAATACTCATATCATCAAGATCAATCAAGCAGGAAGTAGGGAATTACCTTCATCGAGAGGGCCCGAACCTGGGTAAACATCGTGTCCCCTGCCTCCTGTTACCATTAGCCTTAGACGCACAGTTCGGGACCCCCTACCCGAGATCCGCCGGTTTTGACACCGACACTAGCCCCCACCCCCAGTCGTCTTCCTTGTATGCTCGTGCCGCCTCTAATCCCCTTGATGTTCTACTGCAATCTGCCGCCGGCCGCTGCTCTTCCTTAATCCAGCTCGGCCTGCTAGCTACTTTGTGCTAGCTAGCCCCACCATGTCGTTCATACAAGTGCTCCCCAGTGTATGCCCAACCGGTCCAACCCTTGTACTGCTACTGCTGGGCGCCTTCCCCTGCCTCCCCCTCGCCCATGATTGATGCACCTCGGAAGCCAAAAGTACACTGGGTAATTTCTTTTACCGAGACAGGCATATAACAAATAGCAGATGCAATTGAACTGACATGTTGTATTTGTTGATTTCCAAACTAATGTTGCATGTGTTGATTTATAAATTGATGCACTTGAACAATGAGCTGTAGTGAAAAAGAATCATGTATCCATTAAACATAAATTCTCTCCATATTTATTTCAATTTGATTTGTCGAAAAACAAGATGATGATTTCATCGATGCCCACAACAGGAGTGTCTACAGATATAGGAGGCACGCACGAAGGAACCTGTGGATCAGGTACTCTTTTGTATCCCCATATTAATTTTTGTCATATTTTGTCTATTTTGTCCGATCGTTCAACATCAAGTTTCAGTTCTACTTATATTGTGTATTCGAGCAAATATTTGGATGCTTTAGCATGAGGTATTTCTTGGGTAGGTATAAGACTTTTTCAAGATAGTCCTTTAGTTATATGATTTTAAAAAACTGAGGCTGCAATTTGAAGTTCACCACAGGCCCCCAAATTCCTGGAGACAACCCTGGCAGTAGGTGCACTTTCAAGCACGCCCACAGTGAAATTTCCGACCGAATTGCAGTGTGGAATCTGCTCCCTCGGAGCAATGCATATGTAGCAAGTAATTATGCCGGATTCCACGAGACAAAAAAAAGCGGGAATATGATTCTTGCACCGTGCTGCGTATCATAGCTAGGGCTCGCATGGAGAAGGACAAACCCAATGTGTATATATGTTTCGCCCCCCTTGTTGTATCGTTATCGTTAGAGACAACAAGTAGGCGTGATGGATTTAACCAAGCGTCCACGGGCACCCACTCAAACAAATCGTTTTCTAGGAGTAGTAATAAAAGGAAAAGAATGAACCGAATCAATGGCAAGAAGCCGGCCATGGCCGTGCATTTCATGGGCACGTCTCCCTCAAACAGCTCGATCGAATTGTTTTGTTTAATCCCGCGCCTACATACATACGCGTACAGCTGGGCATCGAACTCCCCTGCTAGCCAGCCACAGCTGCCAGTGTATGTGCTCGTGCAGTCCAAATGGCGCCAGATGCACCGATGGAGGTGAAAAGAAAATGTAGACGAATCAGGCCTTTGCGATATGTTTCTCTCTTGTAAACTTACACGCTGCGCCAAATGGGGAGCCCGTCGAATGTGAATTACTGCATGAACTGCGCTGGTCCTGGACATCACGAGGAGGAGGAGGAGTATTTTGGATCGTCAAAAAACAAGAATCTGTCGTGTTTTGATGGACCTTGGAGCACCCCTAGTGCTCTGCCGCTTCATGTCACGAGCCCCCGTCTTTCCCAAAGCCCCCGTTCCTTGGTTTTCATGTGCCATTTTCCTCAAGCTTATTTGTCTGCGTGACGAAAAAAAAAAAGAAGTAAAGCCGACCGAGCGGAGCCTGACTGACTCATGTAGGCCGTAGAAGCCAGATCTGACGGACAGGGCGTCGCGCTCGGCGCAGCCAGCCGCACAGAGGGCCCGGATTGCTGCTGCCGCGCTGGAGTCAACGGTCAACCTGGCGCGATATCTGCGCCCGCGCGTTCACAGCCTACTCCGCGCGCTCCCTGCTCTGCTCTTGCTCTGCTCTATAAAGAACAGACCAGTCCGACGCTCTTTATATCTCTTTCGCTCTCTCTCTCTCTCTCTCTCTCTCTCTCTCTGCACATCCTCCTCTCACACATCCCCCTCTGTTCTGTTTACTCTCCATTGCTCAAGACAAGGCCCGGCCGGCAGAACATGGGGACGCAGGCAGCGGAGAACTTCGAACCGCCGGCCAAGGTACGTGCTCCCTGCTGAGCAATTAATCTCTCTCCCTCTCCCCCTCTCGCTGTTAAGAAAATTACAGTCACAAATCATCTTGTTAATCAACCGAAAAGAAGATACCCAGTAAAAGGTTTAGATAGATGGAAAGAGAGAGAATCAAGAATCTGAGTTGGTGCGAGAAGCATGGAGCCAGCTTCAGAGTCAGAGGTGGACATGACGTGAAATGGACAAACCCGGACGAAAAGGCGGGGGGCAAAAAGCGGCTTCTTGGATGCGTTTCCATGGGGGAGGAATGGAGGATCCCCTTCCGTCTCCCCTCCGGCAGCTAGTGGCACACCCACCAGCCAAAACACCATCCGGATGGATGGCCCCGCCGAGCCAGTTCGTAGCTACACCGGTACCCTACCAGTTCGTCTTCCGCACGTGAAAACAAAACCCGCCTTCCTTCCTCGCACCTTCACACTCTTGATTTCTCTTGCTACTAGTACTACTTTTTGCCTCGGCTCCTCTTTTCTCGCTCTCTAGAAGATGCAGCAATTAAATAAAAGTATCTACGTATCATGCCCGTCATACGGTCCGTGTGATTTGCGTTGCTTTGCATTAACCGCCGAATTCTGCCTTCTCTCCCCAGCTCTCTGAAAATTCCTTCTGGCCTCTGGACTGCCTGCCCTTGTGCTCTAATTTTGACTCGGCTAGAGCAAAATTCGACTCACACATCACATGAAAACAAAAATATGAACGAAAAGTCTCTTGTTGTCTCTGTCCCATGGTCCGCACGCCTTCTCTTGACTATGAAATATGAACGATCGCCTCTACTTTTCACTACTTTGTCTTGTCCTATGCTTCGGATTAGCGTCCACAATTTGCAGTTTACAAGAATTTCCATGTCGCAATTTGCACTTGATGATCCTTGGAGCCTAAAATGACCCATCAAGGCCCCCCCTACCTGTTCATTACCACCGTGAAATTTCATTGAGAGAATATTACCGTACATGCTCAATCAAGACGCCTGTTTCAAAGTACTCCCTCCGTTCCTAAATATCGGTCTTTCTAGAGATTTCAACAAGTGACTACATAGAAAGCAAAATGAGTGAATCTACACTCTAAAATATGTCTATACACATCCGTATGTAGTGGTCTATTTGAAATCTCTAAAAAGACTTATATTTAAAAATGAAGGGAGTATAAAACATTTTTGCAGTTTATAATATTTAAGAAAAGAGGGTGTATTCTGGGAAGATATAAATATATTTTTCAAATACAAATATAAATATATTTTTCAAAAAGGAAGATTAAACCTCGGTCTCTGTATCCTGGGATGTGTGCAACCAATTTATTAATGAAAATATTCGACGAGTAGACAAAAACATCGCTTACAAGTAGGTTCAGTATATTTGTACTATGCTGCTAGTATCACTTTGCTGTACATTGGAATAGCCGTTGGCATTTTGACAGCTGTTGCCATGAGATCGCATCACAGCTAACGATGGGTATAATCCAGCAGATAAACTTTGTCACAATCTCCAACGACAATATGTTAATTATAGATTAGTTGTGTCAGGAGTAAGATAACTAGGATAATACTAACAACTAGCACTGCTACTTGCAAGCTGCTGCCACTTGGTGTAATCTTGTTTCAACTTTCAACCACAACATTGAAATCACAGGCTCACAGCCTTGTTTGATTGGCTTATTCAATTCAAAACAACATAAACAAGTGTGTTACCGTTGTCATGTGAACGTGCTTGATAAAATAAATAGATTATCTTTGCCATGAGGTGGCCGTGATAATTAAGCATCTGGAGTTTGACTTTGCCGACTACTTGGCCATGCGGCAAGTCAACTGCCGAGAAGAAACGGAATCACAAAGCACTCCATTTAACCTACAAAATTCAAAGACGTCCCGTCACTGGGTTGAAACTTTCTTGCGGATTAGCTGTCCCTTTCTTTCACTGCTCCGTGAGAAGAAAGCCATGGAAATGCAAGAAGGTTTCAACAGATTAGAGAAAGTGGATTATGTGGTACACAATTTAGATATGGATATCACTGGTTCCTACTTTTTGATAGTAGATATTTCATTTAGTAGGATTTTTGTAGAGGTTTTGTGAATGGTTCATGGCTAACAAGCATGGCGATTACTTGATCGCAGGATGTCAGGACGGATGAGCAGAAGAAGATTGACGACTGGCTCCCGATCACGTCGTCGAGGAACGCCAAGTGGTGGTACTCGGCCTTCCACAATGTCACCGCCATGGTCGGCGCGGGGGTGCTCAGCCTCCCCTACGCCATGTCCGAGCTCGGCTGGTACGCCATTCAATGGATTCACCACCTACCTACCTGTTGCCTCGCCTCCTGCTGCTAATATAGTCTAGTCTAGGAGTATATAACGTTTGTTTGTTGCTTGCTTACTTGCACAGGGGCCCTGGCATCGCGGTGCTGGTCATCTCGTGGGTGATCACGCTCTACACGCTGTGGCAGATGGTGGAGATGCACGAGATGGTTCCCGGGAAGCGGTTCGACAGGTACCACGAGCTCGGGCAGCACGCCTTCGGCGACAAGCTGGGGCTGTGGATCGTGGTGCCGCAGCAGCTGATCGTGGAGGTTGGCGTGAACATCGTGTACATGGTGACCGGCGGGAGGTCGCTCAAGAAGTTCCACGACGTGATCTGCGACGGCAAGTGCAAGGACATCAAGCTCACCTTCTTCATCATGATCTTCGCGTCCGTGCACTTCGTGCTCTCGCAGCTCCCAAACTTGAACTCCATCTCCGGCGTGTCCCTGGCCGCCGCCGTCATGTCGCTGTCCTACTCGACCATCGCGTGGGGCGCGTCGGTGGACAAGGGGAAGATGGTGGACGTGGACTACAACCTCCGCGCCACCACGACGCCGGGGAAGGTGTTCGGCTTCTTCGGGGCGCTGGGCGAGGTGGCGTTCGCGTACGCCGGCCACAACGTGGTGCTGGAGATCCAGGCCACCATCCCGTCCACGCCGGAGAAGCCGTCCAAGAAGCCCATGTGGAAGGGCGTGGTGGTGGCCTACATCGTCGTCGCGCTCTGCTACTTCCCCGTCGCCCTCATCGGCTACTGGGCCTTCGGCAACAGCGTCGACGACAACATCCTCATCACCCTCAACAAGCCCACCTGGCTCATCGCCA